GGAGCGGTGGCGGGAAGCGGGCTGGGGGGCACCTGCGCCTCCTGATTGGCCGCTCGCCTCGCGCCCCTGCCTCCCATTGGCCTAGTTAGGGGAGGGGGCGTCGCACCCCCGCCCCTGATTGGCTGCTGGTGGTGGCGGTGGTGGGGCGCGGAGGGTATATAAGGGGGAGCGGGTAGCGGGGGGACACACACCTGCAGTCTGGGCTGAGGGGAGCGCTGGCCGAGGGTTGTGCTTGTGTGGGGGGGTCCCTTTGGGCACCAAGATGGGCCCCAGCAGGGAAAAGCTCAGGTCTGGCTGGTCCTGGGGCTTGGGGCAGGGAGGTGGTAGCCCCGTGGATAGGCTCGTCCAAGGGCAGAGCAGGACCAGGCTGGTGGGTTGGGGCCTGCCGCTGAGTCCAAGCTGCGGGAGGTGGTTCCATCCGTGGAGGGCCTGAAGGAAAGGGCAAGGCCCGTGTGTGAGCAGAAGGAGCTTCTGCAAGCGGCAGCTGTGGTGTTTGCCACCGCTCCGCGATCGTTGGTCTTGGTGGTGGTGGTGGTGGTTGCCTCTGCCAGACAAGGCCGTTCTTGTGGTCTGAGATACCGTTATAGCACGTGGCTGTTTGATCTTGCAGACCTCTCGAGACCCAGGTTTTGGTGTTGAGTTGCCCTGTCCCCCCATCCTGTGCCACGGTTGCGTTAAAATTTTGTTAATGGGAGCTTGTTAAATCGTTAAGTTGGAATGGAAAAATGAGGTCCTGGTGCTCTGCCTTTCGGAACTACTTATCCTAAAGGGACAACTTGCCCTTTATAGTGTTAGTTTCCCTGTACGAAACATTTCAAGCTATGCATGGTCACCTCTTGCCTCTCAGCTGCTCATTGCAGATCCTCAGAAGGGATCTGTAGATCAGAGTTAAAAACCTGGTTTAGGCTGCTGAGCTTCATAGTCCTGAGAGTGAAATGAATGGTCGGTATTTGCGATGTGCTTTTTAGTATCTGCATCAACCCGTCTCCCATGTTACTGATATAGTCATGGTTCTTGCGGGCTTTAAAGAATGAACAAGCACAAAGCTGGGGGTCTATAAGATGCGTATCAATGTTTGTCTTTCAGAGCTTTAATGGGAATAGAGACTATCCTGAACTTTGGCTTTCTTCTGTTATATTTTTAAGAATTCTTTTGTTTTCCTCCTTTCTATTGGTTAAGTTAGAAGATGAAATGCTAATAACTAATTTTACTAGAGGGTTCTTTGCGTGTTTTGCGGAAATAAAATAACTGGTAGTCTCAAGCCTTCTAATGCCTTCATTTCTAGGCAAAAAAAAATGTAAGAGGGTGTATTTCTTTAGTCAGTCCTTAAATGAAGAACTTATCTCCCGAATGGTGATGCTTTTTGGCACTTTGCTATATGCGTGCTTCTCTTGTGTATTAGGCGTTTAAAATGAAGGCAGCTTTATTACCTTGGTTATAGGATGAGATGTTGATGTAATTGTTATTATTATCCGATAGAAAAATCGACAGTTTGTTTTTGGAGAGAAATGGGTATGTGGTGTCACTTGCTCTCCTCTGGCACCCTTACTGCTAACCTGCAAAGAAAATCCCTGGATGAGCTCTTTTATGGTAATTTGCTCTGCAGTCGGCAGCTACCTCAAGTGTGTTTCTGACCACCTGCAGCTGCTGTCAGCTGTGCAAACTGAATTTTAATTGATTTATAAATGTAGCTAATTATGGGGGCTGTTTTAGTATTGTGAATTTTGTTTTGACTTAAACAGGAGGTCGGGTCTATTTGTCACTTTTCTTTCATGCTAGTAAAACACACAGAAATAGAAGTTGTGTTGTAGCCCTTAACTGGCACTGTATGTTAAGTCCCCACCTGTTTCAAAGTACAGCTAGCCGAATTTGTTCTCTGTGGCCTGTAGTCCTTCCGAGAATCAGCTATTCTGAAAAAGACAAGTTTGATTATCTCCTGTATTTTACAGTAGAAACAGTTAGACTTTCAGCTACTTATCTGATACTTTGTGAGAGAATAGTTGCAATAGACTGTCATGCTTTCACCTTCAGTGTTCAGGCACTGTCCCTTTAGGAGAAGGACTGTGACACATGTTGGACGTGGTAGCAGAGGACTGGCCTTGAAGATCTAAGAGATCTCTTCCAGCTCATTGTTGCTTTGATGATAGTTGTGCCATAAGGACGTAGATAGATCGATTCATTATGCACAATTTGAGTAAAGAGTGAGTTTGGCTGAGCTCTTCTACTTATTATAGGACTAAATAAATTGAAGCCAGGTTTCCTTTTGTGGAAATAAATAATCTTTGCTGCCCCAGCCCTGTGTATGGTTTCCATTGCTAACTCACCAGTAAAACATAAATATTGTGGTTATATATTACCTGATTATTAACATTCAGCCAAAAGGCACCAGAGCCAGGGTTCCTTGAAACAATATGCGCTTTTGATGGATGAGAATGCAGAGGAGGAGACGGCAGTCGTGACTCAGTCCTCAATGAGGTTAGAAACCTTCTTGCTGCAATGAAAGCGTATTCTTGCCAAGGGATCTCAGGAAATGCACCGACTCTGCCTTCTAGGCAAGCTGAGGTAATTAACTTAAGTGTGGGATATAGCTTTCTGCAGACATATGTGATGTTCCTTTTGAGCATAATAAATCATTTTTGTATTAAAAGCTGGAGGAAGACCTGTAGTCGTAAAACCCCCTTTTGCAACAATCTTGCTGTCCTTGCATATGGTTGGCGGTGAAAAAGAGTGGTCAGTGAGCTCAGTACTTAAAGGATTAAGCTAATAACCCCTGCTATTATTGCTGCAGGGAACCCCAATCTATATGCAAGCTTCTTTTACACTGGGGAGTAAATCACATTAGCTGTTTTATGCGCCATTATTGTAAAGTGGATTCTCATTTGAGATACTGCAGTGGCTTTATGGCTCGCTGAGCAGGGAGGTGGACTTTTCCCCTTGCCCAGCTTTAATATTCCCCCATTCTTCTCATCCCAGAGAAGGGACAAAAATGAATGTTCGGCAGTCACTGGCTCGGGTGCTTTCTCAGCAGAATGGCCTTAAGTAGACCTGGAGAGGTTGCTGCAGATGAAGTCCCCAGAGTTTTTGTCTGTGTATCTTCTTGTGTAATCCCAGCATTGAAAGAAATTGTCATTCCTTCATAGCAGGTATGCCAAGAAAATATGGTTACTGTTGATATTTTTTTTGTTTGTTTGTTTTGGTCGTGCTTTTCTCTGAACTTCAGAGCTGAGCTTTCCTTTGAAGCACCGTGTGAGTTCACTATATTCAAAAACTCTTACACGCCAAATACAAACCAACAGTGACTTTGGGGTTATTGGAGGATTTCTTTTAAAGCACCATTGCGCTCGCATTCCCTAGGTGTTAGGGGTCATAGGCGCACCTATGAGGTGACACGGCGCGGGTGCTGCGATGGCTGAGGGTGGGGTGTCTTCTGCTGAGGACAGCAAGGCTAATGAGGACCTTGCTGTTGGACAGAGGCACTTTGCCCCTGAGCATTGCTTTCTCATCCTCCGGAGGGGAATGCAGTGATTGGGGAAAGCTGCTCATTTAATAATACAGCTTCAGAGAAATCAACATGCTGCAGGAACGGGAGAGAGGGGTTAGAGAGTAGCGTGGTCGTCAAGGAGTTTTCAAGTGAGATTTCTGAAAAGTTGAAGAACTGTTCAGACAATGACACAAAGGTGCTTTCCACGCATCAGGAGCTGCGGAGGAGAAGCTTCACCATTAATGAGATTTTTTGGATTAGATGTAAAAGGCAAGAACTAAAGAGGAAGGCCATAGGTCTCTGACACCAGCAGGTCCCCACAGGATGTTGAGAAAGGGAAGGTAAATGTGAATGGTGTACTGAAAGGAACCTGTTTTGTCTTGAAGAGGTGATGGTTTTGCTTGCACTTACCTGATGAGGCAGACAGCTGGATATTATGAGTGCATGGACACGTAGGAGAATACTCATCCTGCCCTGCCTGTCTGCTGACCGCGCTTTGACTCTGAATCGGATGCTTTCTAGTTGTGGTTAGCACCAGGTTGTTCCTGCACTGATAAGTCTTGCTGAGAGATGAGCGCAGCGGTGCGCTAGTGTCACTTGCTAACTTTGAGCATGCTTCTACCTGTGAAAAATATCGGCAAGTTCTAGGGAGTTCAAGGGCAGCACCCATGGGTGCTGTCTCAGAGCTCCAGCAAACACAAGTCAGAACGAGCTTATCTTCCACTGGAGTAGATATTTTAAAGTAATGGGAGCTGTGGGGGTTCTTGATTCACGATACACACATATATATATATGGTGACACACTGCACCCTGTCACTACCTTGCCACTCTGATGTACTGGAGTGATACTGGGATATATTTATACCTGTTATCATTTCAGCTTGTGTCATCACCCAGCATGGACTGGGTGAGGCACGCCTGCTATTTTGGGGAGGAAAAGGCTGTCTTCACAGTTTCTGTAAATGGTTTAGCATCTCACGTGTTGGCATTGCTTCTCGCTCATGTGCGTGACGCTTATCAAGTTGTATGTAAGCATTGGGGTGGTGACAGGATTGCAGTTGATATATTGGGTGACGGGTCTCATAATGTGTATGTGTGTGTGTGTCCCCTTGGACACTGCAGAACATTCCCATTGAGGTACTTGCCTCGGCATTTAGCTTGTCTGAAAATGTCTGATGCATGTGAGATACAGGGAGAAAAATTAACAATTGCAAAGGATAATCCGTGGGCAAATGGTACGGAGAGCAAGCAGAGAGTGTTCCCTTGCACGCCAGCTGTTTGGCAATGCTTATGCCCAAAGTTTCACATGTATTTCTGCTAAAAAAAACCAACAAAGCTTCCAGCCAGACCGTTTGAGAAAATAAGTATTTTCTTTACTTGTATCTCTCAAACTGGTATTACTAACAGGCTTAGTGTAGAGGCCACATACGCCAACTTGTCCATCACGATTCTTCTGCAGTTAATTTGAAAAAATATTGTGGCTATGTGCTGAGTTGGACATCTGCCGCTTCCTTGTGCAGCAAGACATCTCTGCTGAGAGAAGACCACAGGGAAATCATTAAAATCTCGAGGCACTGTGGATGTCAGTGTCACAGCTGTAATGGGTATTGAGAGGGGGATTTAAAGAAGAAAATAAGATCATGCAGGATTAATGAGGGAGAGCATCCTATGGAGGACTAGTGAGCAAAGTTATTTCGGTCTTTTCTGTCATCAGTGTTAGAAAACTTACTCGGGTGTTTGTGTTTCCTGGCGGTTTTGTTGTCAGTGACTTTGGACCAGATCTTGCTTTCCAGCTCCTGACCTTAACTGCAGGTCTTGTTTCACTATTGGCTTTTGTACCAGCTAGATTTCAATGCTTGCTCCTGCCTTGGGCCGTCTTTATTGCCTGGCCTTGGGACCTCTCTGGGATGTGCCCTGCCTGCTCTTGCACTGACTTCTCAGCACGTCCACGTTTCCAGGGAAACATGCTTTTCTGTGTATTTTGGTGATGATAGAAATTATGAGAGTTTGTAGAAATCCAGTCTGTGGTAGGAATGCATACCAGAGGGGCAGATCCTAGGATGTATTTTCAAGTACGGAAGTTGAAAGCATCAGCAAATCCTGAAGCTCCTAATAATGTCTGATTGTTGTTGCTACACAATTGGCTAGGCTGAGCAGTGGAGTTTTTTTCATTTCTGTGAAGAACAGCAATAACAGTACCATTTATAGAAACGGCACCACCGAGCCACTGAATTTGGCTCAACCTTGCATTTTTCCCTGAGATTTGAGATTACTGCTAACCTTTAGAACCATGGCAAAACTTGAAATGACTGTCTTCTGCTTTCTTTTCCGACTTTTTGGTACAATTTTTTTTGCAGATATGAATCGTAGTGTCCAGTTTTGTCTATTAAAGACCTTTCTGAACCCTTCGGTCTCCTTTCCACTCAAGTTGTAAGTTTTATTTGTGCCAAAATGAGTCTGCAGGAGTGAGTCAGCATCTTCCTTTAGACCTTCAGTATCTGCTTGTGGGGAAGGTCAGCCAGAAATTCTGCTACTTGTTGCACCATGTGGAATTAGCCAGAACCGTCCCTTTCTCTTAATTCAATCACTGGTTAATTTAATTACATTCTTATTAACAGGATAATTTAAAAACCCAAACCACCCAAACTTGAAACCTCTAGTATTTATTTTTATTTTTCTAAGCAATTAGGTAATTGATTAAACTACTGGCTATTGTTAGTGCAATTACCTGAATTGGCTCTTGATTAATAATGACAGTCAAGAAAAAGAGCTGTTTGGGATAAACCAGCCAAAGAATATCAACAGGGTAGGCATTTAATTTTACATAAAAATTGTTCAGATTAGGTTACTGACATAAATGCTGTCATGTTTCACACAAGCAGTTCTAGACCCCTTGGTGATTGTATACCTGATAAAATGAGTGAGGAGTTCAGTGAGAGTGGTAAGATTAGGTATGAGAAAAATCCCTGAATTAATCCTTAATAATGTAGCAAGTAGCTTTGAGATAGATGGATGAAAAGTGCTATGTAGGGGTGGGTGATATTTACTTGTATATCAGCTTGTGTGTGCTGTAATACATAAATAAATAATATTTATTTGTAAATGACCCTGGCTTTCAACACTTGGAGAGTAAGGCTGGTGTTTATTGGTCCTAATTGCTTGCTGAAGTTCATTTTTCCATACTAATGAGATCCTCTAGTTGAAGTGTTGCATGCAGGTACATGTATTTCTTTTTTCCTTTTCTCCTCAGTCCTTTTCCTGGATGTTTTGTATCAAGTAATATTAATGGGAATAGGATTTCTGCCCCTTTATTCCCATAACCTAATGGTGCATGGGTCTAATAGTAAGTGAGAACAGCCATCGCACTGCTTCTCAGTCTCTTCTTGTGTGGGGGACGACGTGGCACACGTGTACTGTGTGGCTCAGCACGAGAAAGCAAATGCTAGGCTCTAGTCACCAATAATGCCATGACTTGCTGTCTAGCGATGCCCAGAAATATCTTTCCCACAGTTTTTCTTTGTATATGTGAAAGTCATATGTTCCGGTTTTGGTTGTTCCCCCCCCCCCCATACACTTCAGTGACGTTAGCCTGAGACTTTTCTGTACTATCGATTTATATGTTCTGGCCAGGACAAGTGGTACAGTCAGTGCTCAGGTCTGCAGAGCTTACTCGTTGCTGGCAAAATTAGTAGAAGGCAGAAAGTGCCTGCTGCTGGTTTTTTTTTTTTTCTTTTTCCTCCTTTTCTTTTTTTAGTTTGTCAATGACAAGCCAACTGGTAGCATTTATGGGAACAAATTATGACTAAAATAATTTGCATTTAAAATGCAAATGAATGAAAGCGTCAGCAAGGAGCATTCTGCTTTCTTCCTGGTGCACAGACGGGGTACTGGCATTGGATCAGCCCAGCGAGGCACTCGGTATAAAATAGAGTTAATTGGACTAGCTGAAAAATGAAATAGGCTCAGCCTCATGCTAATTCCTGGGCCTGTGATTTAATATGACATTAGAGACGAAGGACTGGGAAGGTGCTGAACCACTGACTAAACCAATCACCAGAGCTGTAAATTACACTTCTGAGATTCCCAATGGCAGATTGAGAGGCCCCAATAAAATTGCGTGAGGTGAAAAAAACCTAGCTTGGAAGCAATTTGTCAGGATCTTTGGGCTCGCGTGAATTAGAGTTTAAGTTTCATTGTTCTTTTTCTAAAAGTTGTCTGTTGTAACGCTGCCTGAATATCAACTGGGACTGCAGTTTTGTACAAGGTGAAAGCTGACTGTAGATGTAAAGCCAGTTGGCTCTTGAATAAAACCTCTTTCAGACAAACTGAGAAACTGGTGATGCATCTCTGAACATAGTGTTTTCTTGTTGGAAGCTTAAGGTGAATTTTCTGCATCGTGTATTGATTTCTGGTCCTGTAGGTGCCAGAAGGACAATGTGAAGAAATGCAGAAGGAATTCAGTATAATCCTTCAGTGCAGGAGGCATTCAGTATAATCCTTCAGTGCAATTGTAGCAATTGTTGACTTGTTTCCTCCTTAATAGGACTTGGAAAGTATTATACGGCAGAACTTGAGCATGCTAAATGAAAATGCACATGTTCGTAAAGCCAAGCCTGCTTTACTCTGGCAGTGTGTTCCTGTAGTGCAGTAGCTGATGATAATACCTCATATCTCCGTTCTGTGTGTCACACTTGTTATAATATCTCTGTCTTTTCTTTTTTAATTTTTTTTTATAGCCATGTTACTGAAGATCACCTTGTCTTCTGGAAGTAGAAACACAGTGAACAGATGAATCTATTCAGCCAGACATTCCTCCAGTAGATCTCTATCCCCATGGAGCACCACAGCAGAGAGGAGATGGACTCAAAAGATGAAAGTCCTCAGGTGTGGGCTGACTCTGCTGAGCAGGAACAGAATACTGCTCAGGTGACTAGTGCCTTCCAGAGCTCTCGGTTTCTGCTCAGACCAAATTGGGCTCGGTGCGGTGGCTTAGCAAGCAGGCATTCCCATTCAACCCTTTCTTAAAGTCTGAAAACTCAGCTTTCATTTGAGGAGAAATACAAGCATGTCTGTGGTGATTTCGGATTAAAGCTTCAGCAAGTTTGCTGCGCAAACTGCAGCAGTGAGTACACAGACATCTGAAGCGAGCTAAATGAAGCCAGCCAGTGGCTATAGAAGTTTTCAGTGTCCAAATATATGTATAACTATGTGGGAAAGCGAAAGGGTATTCAGATGAATGAATATTAACAAAATCTGTGGTCTGTGGCAGGCCATTTTGATGGCATCAGTCGAATCAGTTGGAGCTGTGGGTGGACCTTGGGGAAAGTAATATGCATAATTTTTTCCAGTAGTGGGGAAGGAGATATGTTAATCGTTAGTGACTAATACAGTCAGATTCTGGTGTATGCAGCTAGTCCCTCTGTCTCTGAGACAATGCAGTTGAGAATTTCTAGAAGACTGTAAACTGATTTATTCTTTCGAATATGTTATAAAGAGGGTGCTGCATGTCATTTGACCCACAAGCTGAGAAATTCTGACTCTTCTGGTAATTTCCAGCTTTGAAATTTGCCAAGAAAGGCAATTTCCAATGGCCTGTGTTCCGTTATCTATACAATGGGATAACCATACTGTTGTTTGCACATGGCAGTTATAAGGCTTAATTAGTATTTGCAGAGTGGTCTCCAAATGTGAAACACTGCATGCATCCTTACTGTAGTGTTTGCATGAGGATTTATTGTACAGAATCAGCACTTAGCATCCGTGGGGGAGCACCAGGTGTCTTCTGAAGCATGAACTAAAAGGTGGAACAAAGTAAATAAAATATGTAACTGTGACATCATTTTATGTGCAAACATTTTGTGTGAATATGAATATAGATACTAAAACTAGGTTTCCTGCTAACTGTCCTATTTTTCCCATGCGCTGAAAATGGTTTTCAGCATGTAAAGGGTATCAAAAGATAAACATGTTCCTGTTGCCACTGGAATTAAGTATTCTAGCTTGTTTAAGGTAGGCCACTGATCATCATTTGTGATCATAATGTTCTGTCAAAATCAACTTATTTGGATTTAAACTGCCGCCCTAGACATAACTTGTTCCAGTAGTCCTTGGAATCATTGCTTAATGTTTTCAGTTATATGTTTCTCTGTTTAAATAGTTGAATTTTCTACTGATACGGCATGTATATACTACAGAGAAGCAATCTAACATATGCTATTGCTTCCTCATGATAGGTGCAATACTATTACTTGCAGCAGTATCAAAGTTAATAGATTCTGTTAGCTGTTCATCAAACAGAAGAAATTACCTCCAACTAAAGAACTAGCTGAATGAATTAATTATCATAAATCCAGAAAGGAGTGTGAGAATAAAGGGAAACAATATACCAATAAATCCCAAAGATACACTAGTTCATATCTGAGCTTTCTTTCTCTTACAAATTTCCAAAGTGTGATTCAAGAACTAAGTATTAGAAGGTGCCCTTTACACAAGTCAGGTCTTGAGTTAAAATGCAGAGTAAAACCAGAAACCGATGGTAGGTTATGTCCAGATTTCTGTGTTGCTAGCATAATTCAGATGAGATTTTAAATGTGTTTTTTCAAAACAGTCGGCTAGTTAGTTGAGACACGAGGTGCTCTCTGCTTTCCAAGGCACCTCTGCAACCGATGGGTTTTGTGTTGTTTCCCACAGGCGTATGACTGCAGAAGTTTCAGTACAGGATCTGTTTTTTCTTCCAGGTGCACTTTGTCCCTGAGGGGGGGACAGTGGCACAGATTGTGTACAGTGATGAGCAGGACCGTCCCTCGCAGCAGGTTGTCTACACGGCGGATGGCACCTCCTACACCTCCGTGGACACCTCCGAGCACACGCTCGTCTACATCCATCCCGTGGAAGCTACGCAGGCATGTGTGGTTCTGGGCCCACCCCACTTTGGCACCTAGAAAACAAAACAGTCTTGTTTGAGGTGAAAGCCAGTTGCCAGCCAAGTGATATGGTTGGGAAATAGCAGGCAGTTGCTCTTAATGCTTTTATCTGTCCATTGCTGAACAGGGACTTCATGCTGTTCATTTGTCTGATGTTCAAATGTGATCATGAAAGGATGCCGAGGCTATGAATGATGAAATGCTGGTTATTTCACTGAAGGTGGATGAGATTACAATTAAATCAAGGGTGTTTTCCAAAACACGGATATCTTCAGAAATTCTGCCTCTGTTGTATTCATTAAAAAGCAAAGAGCGATCTCTGGGTCTGTCTTCTGGAAGAGTCCTTGTTTTGCATAGTACAGTTCTCATAATTGATAGTTACAATATCAGTCATGTCTTTTTGCAGGGGATCTCAGTGTATTCAGTCTAATTTTGTAGTGTCTTCAGAGAAGTTGTTGATTTTATAGACCTAGGTTCTTTTTCTTCTTCATAATTATATCAAGTAGCTTTTGTTCTCTGACAGCATGTGTTTATATGGGGTTATATAGTATGCATCTGTACCTCTGTGTGGAAAGATAAAAAAAGGAACAGGCACGCTTTGTCGAGAATGTTTTGTAGTGTCTTTGCTGACAGGACAGATTAGCAATGCTACAAAGTGCACATAGTTGACACCCGCAGCAATGCTGGCATAGCCTTGTGCAGTGTGGTCCCTCTCTTGTGCAGTTCTTAGCTGTTACATGGAAACAGTTGATACATGGTGGGATGTTCTGAGAGGATAAGAGATTTTGAGAGGGTGTCTCCCAGGAAGTCACCGACCAAGTAACTCCAAAACTCTGAATACTATCATTTTGTCAAAAGAGGTGTAGTATTAAGATGCTATCGTGCAACTGAGATGAAATTACCAAAGCGCTAATGGAATTTGTATTATGCCATGCTTTATTTTGTTGGAGCCAGACCGCTACAAGCTCAGATATTTCAAGTTTTGGCAAAGTAAGCAAGACTGACCTTAGTCAATACTTAGTTTTTATTTAAGTCTTGCTTTTCCTAGGGGGAAGCTCTCCCATCAGGGCTGTTCTTGCAGGCTACTGTAAGAATATTGGAGTTGGCGTGTCTTCTATGAAATTAAAAAAAACCAGCGACCTGGCCATATCAAATTTACATGTAGGATATGCCTGATATCTGCATGCTTTCTTTTGAGGCCCTGTCTTGTGAATTTGCAGAAAGATAAAGTTAATAGTCATCTTCTGTCCTGCCCTCAAGTATTACTTAGCTTTCACACAGCTATTGAATTTCATTCTGTAGAATTTATCAAATCAGCAACTGACAAAATTATTTCTATATTAAAAAAAAAAATATCCCATGAAGTACTTCAGTTATATAGATGAAAAGTGCCGCATAAATATATTGTCTTTTTATGGAGCACTACCTAATTTTAGTTTAATCTCTAGGAATGTAGGTTCACATGGGTAAGTTGAATTAGTCTGTGGTGGCAATAGGCACATTATAGGTTAGCAAAGGATCAAATGTGGATCACTTCTTGGTGGCAGGGTAATTTTTGTGTGAGCTGGGAGTAAACAACCCCAAGGCTGGTTTGATAAGCCTTTTTCACTTTGTCTAGACTCTGTTTACAGATCCGTCCCAAGTGGCTTACGTCCAACAGGATGCCACCACCCAGCAGGTAAGAAAGACGTTATTTTCCTTGGGCCTGAAACTGTAAGGAAGTTGTTACCGAAGGTAAAGGAACATTGTTGTAGTGCTAGAGTGTAATAAACTCTCTCTGGATTTGTCAAATGGCAATCTTCAGTCATGTACTGTCATCCCAGGGATCAAGGGCAAAAAGCTGATGATAACAAGCCATTATTATTTTGGCTAGCTTGTGCATGAATGACAATAACGGTTAAGAGAGTTTGAGTTTATTCTTTTTAATTAATGTTCAATGAAAATACTAATTTACTGCCCCAGATATAATGAAAAATCTTTCAACAGTGTCCCTTTAAATAAGTCAGCAAGCTGATGTGGCTGGCTTTATTTTAATGTGTCATTCTGGAAAGACTGGATTTGCACTTGTCCTCATACAAATTCTGACCCAAATGCCTTTAAGTCCATAAAAGGCTCTCAAGGGATAGAAACTTTGGATCAGATTCTAGGTTTACTAGAGACTTCACATGAAATTAATTGTAAAAGCTGAAGAAGTTCAGTTACTGGCTCCCTTACCTTACCGTGGCATCCCAGCTCTGATGTGTTTGCCAGTGCTGAAGTGGGCTAGGAACAGAATAAAATTGGAGCCCGTGTTTATAAAGTTTTGATGATTTTTCTTTTTTTCACTTATCATGGATGGGAAGGTTTTGTTGTTAACTTTTACTCGTATCTTTGGGGACTGCGTTGTGGTAATCAGGTGTAGGTGCTTTCAGATCTAGATCTCTAGTTCAAATTCTCTGCTTGTCAAAGAAGCTTAAAATCATTACTGCTCAGTGAATCTTTAATGGCACATGTGAATTGACATGTTAGATCTGAATCATTACTAATGCAATCATTAAAATGCATATTTATTGACAGTCTTGGGGCAGAGTGAAGGGTTGAATGTGCACTGAAAAGAAATTTTCTTCTTGCTAAAAGAATACCTTCTAAACTGTTGAGGCACAGGCAGGAAATGGTATGACTGACACAGTAAAGGTGTTACCTGTTTTCTTCCAGTTCTCCGGAGTATTTGGAGTGTCATTCTGGAATTTTTTGCCACATCAGTTTCCTTGCATTAAGAAGCCCCCAAATTCTATTTAATTGTCTTAAAGCTCATTTAACAAATAAATATGTAATCTAATTAAAAGTAGAGATTACTTACATGTGCAGTGCAAATGACACTCTGACAGCAGAGGTGGTGTGTTGTTACTGTCCCATGTTGAGTATCAAGGGCATGAGCACTTGTCTGCATGTCCTCAGCCTGTCCTCCCTTCCAACACTGTCTGTGACAGCAGTCCCAGCAGAGATGTTCATTTGCTTGTGAATGGTTAGTCCCTCGTTGTGGCAGCTCCTGCCTTTGCAGGTGTTTTTACATCAGCATTTCATGTGGGACATCCCTGAACTGACAACAGATGTTAAAATAATAATCAGAGCTCCTCTTGTCTTTCAAAAGAAACTTTGTTTTTAAAAAAAAATTGAAAGGTTTTTAAAAATAATGCCTATATTCCTTGCAGTGTCTGACATGGAAGTAAAAGTAAGGGTAGGTCTAACGTATGATTAGTGGTAGGCAGTGCTAATATGAGGGACAAATAGACCCAAGCTTGCATGAACCTCTCATTGCTGGCAGACTTGGAGGTGTGCCATTGAATAATGATGCCTTTTCTGTTGCCACTTGGCATCAGAAATGTCAATACCAGGCAGCTTGGTTCAGCTGTCGTCTTGGCAGTTTCCTGCTCACTGTCACACGGTTCCCTGAAGTCTTTTTGCTGTAGTTTTTAAGCAGTTTCATAAATTAATCTTAATACCTCTTTAAACAAAACAACTAGATTTGAAGTTTTAAGACTATCTGCTTATGTTATGGATTTTCTTGTCTGCTCCTTCACTGTTGGCACAATTTGCTGTTCTCAGATTTATTGGATATTTATTAAGCCCTCTGTAGAGGGACAGGGACTTTAGTTTTAGCATAAAAGCTGCTTAACAGTCAGAGGCACAAACTAGAAGCCACGTGATGTCAGCTGTAGAGAAGGATGAAAAATTGTGTGGGATAACGGTGCAAACTCCTGTATAGATAAGCAGGAAACAAAAGAGAGGAAAGGTGATTCCTAGGATCTTAATTCTGCTTTGTTTAATTGCTGAATGGATGGGACCAGTATGGTAATATACATTCATTTTCTTGTTACCACACAAAAAAAAGAGTATGAAAATGACCAAAAATGTATAGTGTGACCAAATAATGTAAAGAAAAAATCATTGTTGGAATCCTGTCATTTGAGGGCTTGATCTTCCAATGAGGCCAATACACCATCTTGCTTTTATAATGGATCTTGGTTCGCTTGAGAAAAAGAAAGAGAAAAAGAGGAGATGCTTCTTTTTCCTTCTTTACTTTCTGCCTTAAAAAAAACCTAGTAAATTTGGAGATAGAAGAGAAAAAGACCCCAGATCATTGGTTTTACCAAGAGCTAAAGAGCTCCTTGCATCTGTTTTTAGTATAGTTTGAACCCAGGCTGTGTAGGACCTTAATTTAAAGCCAAAAGTGCGAGATAGGAAATTCAAAAGCTGCAAAATCTAGACTGAGTTTTGAAGCCTTTCCCTTTGTTCCTGGATCTACAGGTTTTGTCCAAGTCCATCATCCCTAAAAAATTTAAAAAAAAAAAAAAAAAAAAAAAAAAAAAAAAAAAAAAAAAAAATCATTAAAATGTTGCAGTTTTTGACCTAGTGTAGGACTCCAGGGAGCATTGCATGCAGGGCACTGCCCGTATGTAAGTGACTGATGGAAATGATGCAGTGCTAAAATGAGTGCCTATAATTTTAGGTAACTGTGCTCTTGCCTGCTGCTGCTCAGAGCATGAATCCCACCAACCTGTCCGTGCTCGGCAACGTTGCCGAATCCCCCCAGCAAATGGCTCTGGAGCAGGGTCCACAAGCAGATAGAGTAAGTTGCCAGGCACCCTTTTCTTTTAAATGTACGAGTACACTGATTTCATTGCTCCATTGTCTCAGGTGATGAAACATGTCTGAGTGATATGGGAGGAGATGGGAGAAAGCTGTAGCACAGATCTGTACTGCCTTTCATAGTCTCACCATGGAATGTGTGTGGGGTTTTCTAGGAGAGATAGTGTATTTAATATACAGAGAAACTTGTTCTACAGATTGTTCTGTCTTGAGCAGCTGCCTTTAAAATACTCTTCTCAGCTTTGAAAAGCAAAGTTAACAGAAGGTGTAATGCTGATTGTCATATAGGACCAACATCCACTGGGTCTCTTTGCCAGTCTTTTAAGATAGCTTTACTGCGCGTAGTATTTCTTGTTCTCTACCTGAGAAGCCTGCATGGGTTGTGGAATATTCTGTACAGTGCACTTCAATTATTTTTTTTGCTTTTTTTCTAGGGAAAGAAAGGGGTAAACTTTAAAATTAGTGAAAGAATACAATGCCCTCAACTGTCCTCCATGTCCCATAGTTTATATCTAGTGTCTGTGTTATCTCATCCCATATTGATCTCTGTGTGTGTGCTCCGGGGATTGTGTGTGTTTGATTGCACGATAGGAGAGAAGAGATCATGTGCCAAAGTGCAGGATTCTCTCACTTGTACAGAAGTTAAAATACAGCCTTAGGCTGTAGATAATTTCCACAGAGCCTGGACTTTTTCAGACTTTCTGTGAGGGTCCAGAACTTCTGATACTGTTTTCTTCTCCTGAGAAGTCAGTCTTTGACAGGGTAGAGCTAGGTAGTGACATAGAGCTGTCCCGAGTGAGGCTGTCAGCAGCAGCGATGCAAAACATCCCTCAGCAATTGTTTATCATGTCGCTTTACTTTCCCTTGTCCTTCTTTCCATTACCAAAGGAAGCAGAAAGGGTAGACTAGCAAGAACCCTCATTGCTCATCTTTGTAAGAGTGTTTTTCTTTGTGAATCAATTTTGATTGTTTGTGAATTCTCTCCTCAGGCATCATTACCGGTGCATAACCAGGTGTTACCTCCTATGGAGGCAGTGGATGGTTCTGACCCTTTAGCACCTCTGCAGAATCAAATGGGAAGGATGGAAGCAAAAGAGGAAGATGATGATGATGAAGATGAAGATGAAGATGGGGAAGACACTGACATGGATGAATGGGATCCGGATCCACCTCGACCCTTTGATCCCAATGATTTGTGTAAGCATATGAAGTAGTACGTAGCAGTATGTAGAAAAAGCCCTCCCTTTTTTTTCACTTCCATCAGCCCTCTAGTACATGGAGCCAAAAATGATTCAGAATTTAGCAGTAATAAGTAAACCCCTTTATACCCAGAAATGTAGACACATATTGAGCTGCCTTACTGAAAAGACAAGGTTGTGTCTTAGGTGGAGTCTCTGAGCTGCTTTGTTCTTCATTTTGCGGGAGGCTGCCCTCTCTAATGTTTTAAAATGTAGACAGACTATTGGAATAAATATTCCCACAGCTGAGCCAAAGATGTTTAGAGGGAGATAAGACTGTCTCTTCTGAGCTGGTGCGTGAGTGTCTGCCTGACAGTCATGTCCTCTCTGACTTTGTGTTGTAGGGTGTGAAGAGTGTAATAATGCACATCCCTCTGTGTGTCCAAAACACGGACCTTTGCATCCGATCCCAAACCGGCCTGTGCTGACCAGGGCAAGAGCCAGCCTGCCCCTGGTGCTCTATATAGACAGGTTTTTGGGAGGTGTGTTCTCCAAAAGGCGTATCCCAAAACGCACACAGTTTGGACCTGTGGAAGGACCCCTGGTTAGACAAACTGAACTCAAAGACTGCTATATCCATTTGAAGGTAAGGGTGTGCGGGCGAGAGAAGAAGAGGGATCAATTTGTGCTTAAGCTTTGATTTTCATGAGTTTGTTGCTCTGCCTTGATCAGTTACTTCACTGGAGGTGTTCTTTTGTTGCTTCCATCTCTGAATGTAACTCAGAAGTACCCAGATTGCTTTGGCTTGAAATCTTCTGTTATTCAGGGAGACACAATAATCGTGGTGAATATTAAGGCATTATGGTGTTATGATATATAGGACACATAGCGTGGAATGCTGTGAATCGCTGTTGTGTGGGCTGAAGCAGCATCTGGACATATAAATAGCAGCCCTATCTAAGGATGTTTTGCAGCCATTATTTTGTGTCATGCTGTAACTTAAGTTAAAGATATTTTTCTTCCCCTTTCCTTCTTCTCCCCCACAAGATGGAGGGGAGAGGAGAGATTTTTCTCCCATTCCTCATGCCAAGACATTGGCGGGAGGTATAATGGATTTGACTGACTTTCATCCATTTATTTACTGGTTTCATTATAGGAATTGGTTCTTATTTGCTGGAGATTAGGTTGACAGTCTTAGGAGCGCTAGTCTCTGATGGTCAGTGTCTGACAAGAAAGTTGTTACTGCAGGCAGATTTAGTAACCCAACAGAAGTTCAGCTAAAGAAGTGCTGCTCCCAGCTTGAGGCAGTGGCATGAGTCAAGAAATGAAAGCAGAAGTCGGTCTGCCAGTTAGAAACATCTGACAACTGATGCCATATAGCCTACTGAAGCTACAGCTTCTTGTGCCTCATAGCCACATATAAAGTACTGTGCCTGACCATTTCAATGAATGCTTCTTGCTCTAGAAAGCCATGGAAGGGTCCATCGTGTCTCCGTAGTTAAATCTCTACCTGTTTTTAAGTATTTTTTGAAGTGCTGCCTCTTTCTGGCTCCTTGTTAGCAAAGAGAGGAAAGTTAGCTATGCCTTCGTTGCTTTTCGTAATGTAAAAGTTGCATGGGCATAGTAGTTTGTTTGGGATTTTTGTTTTGTTTTGGTTGGTTGGTTTGGGGTTTTTTTGGTTTTTTTTTTTAGAAGTTCAAATTCTTTTGAACCTGCTGCCAGGCAGTTACAGTCACATGTAATTGGATTTTGCTACAGGTTTCTCTTGATAAGGGTGACAGAAAAGACAGAGATTTGCAAGAGGACCTGTGGTTTGAACTTTCTAGCGAGGCTCTTTGTAACTGGATGATGTTTGTGCGTCCTGCTCAAAACCATCTGGAGCAGAACCTGGTAGCCTATCAGTACGGCCACCATATTTATTACACAACCATTAAAAACGTGGAGCCCAAGCAGGAACTCAAGGTATGGCATTGCTCATGTTTTGTGACTCTCTTTTCTGCTGATGAAATCAAATCTTAGAGTTGCTACCTAATAAATGCATCTCCAAGTGCCAGAAATGATTGCTGTAAATAGCTTTAGGGCTTTTTTCCCTGATAAAGCACATGATGGCCTGAATCAAATGTCACTGAAGTCAGTAAGTAGTTAGCCACCGACTTAGGGATTTTAAATGAGCTTTGGCTCAGGTATAAAATGAGGAAGTTTCAAATAAAAGTATGTAAATGATTTGTCTGTCACTGTCATGCTTTACACTGCATATATTTTGCTGATGCAATCTAATTTTTATTGCAGCAGTCTTATTCTTTTTAGTTCTGGATGCCCTTTCCAGTTAGTCCTGTGTGCCCTTGACTTGTTTTCTGGTGCCTTAAGCGAATATGGTCTCTCACTTTACTTGGCTTTCCTGGAACTTTTGAAACTTTGCATGTGGAAAATGATAAAGGATATTGTGACTTCCCTGTGAGTTACTTTTTGTTCCCTCTAAAACTGTATTGATTACTTTGAGCTCAAAGCAGCGTGGCTGGCTGTGAGATGGCCTTCATTTTCAACATCTTTTGGGGAACTAGGGGTAACCAAAAAATGTTGTTATCAGGAAATATTTCTTCTTCAAATCTCTTCTTGCATGTAAATTTCATCAATTAAAAAAAAAAACCCAGTTTTAAACACACTTAGCTAAACCAGGGCAAAAGCCTGCTTATACACTTGTTGCTGATTTTTAAGGGTAGGATTCTTTTTGGTTTCTCTGAAATCAGTCCTTAATTTGTTTAAGCTGAATCACTAGAAACCATGTTAATCCATTTTAAGTATATCCAAACATAATTTTCTCAACAGTTTTTAAACCAATTTGTAACCAGACTTTAATTAAATCTGTACAGACCCGCTTGTAGAAGCACCATTTTTCTTGCTTTATGTGTTAGCAGTGTCTTTTGGGGTAAAATTGGTTCGATAATTGAAAGCGAATGACCTAGGCTCTGTAATGTGTTTTCCTCCCCAAGTGGATGTAAGGCATTCATATAAATTTTGTCCAAAGATTGAAGTATGAGGATCAGTCAGTTAAAGCTGAGAACTTCTGTACTGCATGACAGGTTAGCAGGGTAGGAGCTCCAGGCTTTCTTCTTTGTCCAGCTAGTGAGATTCCTGCAAAGTAACACGCACCTGCTAGTGAGTCTTTGAAGGAGTTAGAAATGCCACTCACCACTGCTGTGAAAATGCCTGCGGCCCACTACAAGTTTAAACTTGTCCAGATTTTTCATGCTGAAAATCTGTCTGTGCCTTCTTTAAGAAATCTCTTCTGGAGTTGAACCTTTTTAATCAAACAGTGAGATAAAATGAGAAATGATGCAAGAATTCTTGGCTAACTGTGAGCATCTGATTTTAGGCTCTAATAAACTTTGTCTTTCTGCCTTCTGTGGTTCTCTCTGCTGAAGGCTTCCTAAATTCCTTGTATAACGAAAGTGGGTCCACCATGCTGCAGCCTGGCAAATTGTTCTTTTGGGAAGCAGGACCATATTGCTTTGATCCTTCAGAAGTTCAGAAACATTTTTAAATGAGTGTCTGTGAACAGTGCTGCCTATTCTCTATGTAAAGAGAGCAGGAAAGAAACGGGAAATCCCCCAAGTTAACAACTTTTCCATTCCTCTTGGTACAACAAGAAACAGTACTCTGCTGATATCCATCCTTTACAATCTTACAGTCGGGTCTAAAGAGATTAATCTTACTTCCTTTAGAGCTACTGGTAGCCGTGTGTGAGACTAACATTCATATTAGGAGGCTATACCTTAAAATTAAATGGATATGCTTTCTGAGCAAAGCTCTCTTTTATTCCTCAGTGGGAGCATATTGATCTCAACAGTCTTTATTATTGAGGATGAAAGGAGCAATAAGAGTTAGTGGTTGAGGCAAGTGAAGTAAATGTATTGCTTAAAAACCATTTTCAAATGAATTCCCTTTAGTTCTGGTTCCATCTTAGTGGTCTGTTATCTTGTATTCCTTCTGCAGGTGTGGTATGCTGCCTCTTACGCAGAGTTTGTGAACCAGAAGATCCACGACATATCTGAGGAGGAAAGGAAGGGTAACTTAGGCTCTTCTGCTCTCAGTTTTTTTGCAGTGTGGTGGCTGGGTGTTGTACTACTTAGTTTCAAGTACAAGGCCTGTATTGTGCTCCCAAATTTCCACTAGGTTAAGAAAAGTTAAACCAGATCTAGACTGTATTATTGGGACTTATTTCTACTAACTCATCTCCTGCTAATATTACAATAATTTAGCCTTTTGCCTCATTTTCTGGGAAGCATTAGGTTGCTGCTGGAAAGAGATATGTTTCTGTACTTGATGTCTCATGTTGAGTGTGTTAGAAACTGACATGCTACTGCTTTAGATTGAGAAATTTCTCTTGACCTCCCCTAACTTATGCCAGAGGCACAATCCTGTGGGTGCTCTTCCATACAAGGGTAAATTTCAAAATCTTCCTGAATTTTAAGCAGTGTTTATAGTCCATGTGAACTGTCCCCAGTGACCTTTTTGTCTTTCCGTGATGAGCTGTAGTCATGCCACAGTGCAGAGGGGATAAAAGCAAAGCTAAATAGAGCAGTGCTGAGTATTCTGCAGTCTGTCTAACCTTCAGGGGAGAAATATGGCCCACAGAGGACAGAAAGGCTTGGGAAAAAAAATGAGGCATTTAATTGGTGGTGACCGAAATGCTGTTATTGACATTTCCAATTGAACATAGTTCTCAGAGAGCAGGAGAAGAACTGGCCATGTTATGAGTGCAATCGTCGTTTCATGAGCTCAGAGCAACTCCAGCAGCACCTCAACTCTCACGATGAGAAGCTGGACTTCTTCAGCAGGTACTGAAAGCTTTAGCTTTGTCTGGATATCACTATGGTGCTTCCCCAAACTTGCAGAAAGGAGGGTCTTTGCCCTACAGATCTTACTGACCAACTTGGGTACCCATGAGAGAACGTCTCAGCACCAGAAGGTAAGAATATGGCATCAGGAAACAGATTGGTGTGAGACTTTGCAAAAGAAGTAGCGTGCGGGAAATAAATACCCCATTGAAACTGGTGAGGTTTTTTTGGTTTGCTTTTGTTTTTTTGCCAATGACTTAAAAAATTGCAGTATTTCACTACCACAATATTGAAATACTGGTGCTTCTCAGATGTATGCAGATATAGAGCTTGGAGAACAAGACTTCTAGTGCTTTGGCTCCTCGTTGGGCTGTCAAGATAGTTTATCCTGACCTATTAAAAGCTTAATCTACAAACATCCATCAGAGAGCAGAAAACATTGGTGCCTTCTTTTTCCTGAAACTTAGCAAGTGGCTGCATTTTGGTTGGTTTTGTTTGTTTGTTTGTTTTTGGTTTTTTGTTTTTTGACACAGAAAATTGTTCCCTTCAGTTTACTGCCTGACATCAATGGCTAAGTGCCTTTTTTGGGGGGGGTGTTATGGCTTCCTTGTGCACTTGTTCCATCTAGCTGAAAATGCTTTCCAGCGCACCATACACTGGGCTGTTGGAAGTAGAAGAGTTGCCATGGCAGAGGACTTGCTAGGAGCCAGTAGTCTTCTCGGTCCCACAATTACTGAAATAAATTTCTATGTGTTCTGGACTTTGATTTCTCATAAAGCACAAAATAAATAGATACCAGCCAGTACCCTATTTTTCTGCTGCCAAAATTTCTTCAGGTTTTATTATTTACTGCAGGCCATTGCTACTGAGTTGAATGGGTGAATAGTGATGCTGAGAAAGAATGCATAAAACCAGTGGAGATTCCAAATCCATCTTTTTTTTTTGTCTCTAACCTGGAGCACTATGTATTCTGCAGAGCCAGAGGCCGAGGTCGTGGGCGAGGAAAGAGGAGGTTTGGACCAGGCAGACGCCCGGGGCGCCCTCCCAAATTCATGCGTATGGAAGTAACCAGTGAAAATGGCGAGAAGTGTGAAGAAGGGACGCAGGTATATTTTTTTGTGGATGGAGAGGAGGAAAAAAAAAAATCACATGGGATGTAAACCCTTGACTAAAAGAATTCGGGGCATCAGTGCAAACTGAGGGTGTGCTTTGGACTTATACCCAAGTAATTCTTGGTTTTCTAGCTGTGATTCTCTGCCAGGGGAGCATGCTACTTTCCTTCTATAAAAACTGTAAAATCACTTGCATTGCTACAGCAACTTTAATCCCAAAGCACTTAGCAGTGAGATAGGTTATTGCGGCAGTTTAGCAGCATCACAAAAGTAATTTAGACAGTAAAACTGTAATGGGAATTTAGGTTCGTATTCGTCCTTTCTGGAACGTGAGGTCAGAGTCTGCTTTTATAACTGTTGCTGGTAGAATTAAATCAGTTTGAGCTATGATTCTTTATGATGTTTTAATATTAACAAAAGGGCTTCGTGTAGGCACACTTATTGCAGAATGTTCTTTTGCTTGTGGCTGTTGGTTATATTCTGTAGGGACCTAATATGATGCTTTTAAGTAAAATGCTAAATTCTCTTTGCTGACCGTGCTTAGGTTACCACCAAGTCCTTTTATGAAAGGTGTCAGAAGGGATCAGTGGCTCTGTTTTATGACTTAGCTGAAAGCTGATATCTTGAGTGGTAATTCTCCTCTGGCATCTCACTGGATCATGGTTCAGTGCTGACTCAGGGGGAGGAATGTATACATTGCCTATGAATGCCCTCTGCTTGTTTACTGAGCACGCAGAATAGCCCTAAATGTTGCCTTAAGTGTAGACAGTTGCGAGATCACCCTCTTTGCAAGCTGACATGATGCAAGTCAGCTCCATTTAGACAAGTAAGCATAATGCTGTTCCCAAACTCTTAGCTCTGGAGAGACAGGGCTTACTGGGCGCAGTCCCATGCTAATGTATCTGAATGGCCTCTGGACTGGAGGTGGCTCACATCCTGCCAGCTTGGAGCATGGCCCAGAGCTAGCTCATGTGTGTCTATACAGTTGAGCAGGCCCATGGTTATGTCCCAAGCCTTTGGAGGTCTGCCCGCCTCACTAATGACTAGGCACAAGTTCATCTGCCTGAAAACTTGAGACTCAGGATGCTGTGAGCACAGTTTAGTGTCAGCAAGTGTGGAAACTTGCCACCTAGACCAGGACTGGACATTTGGCTGTTATATTGCTCTACTAAGTGTCTCTATCTGGTAAGCATTCACGGTTTATAACAGCTGCACTCCTTCTGGCACCTCCCTGTTTTTCTTCTCCCACACCTGCTTTTGCGCTTTGACAGTACCAGCCTTGAGCTGATATACTTTTGGCGCTCTGTTTCCTAGCTTGTGCTTTTAAGTTTCCTTAGTTGCATTAAGTGATGTCGAGTAAGGATCTATGTTTTTTCTCTTGTAATATGAGAGGATTCCATCCCAGAGGAGTTACTGGAATTTATATGGAAAGAATGTAGATTTTTGGCATATGCTTCCTGCTCCCAACACCCTCCCTGTTCTTTTATCCTAATGCAAAAAAGGAGGAAAACAGCTTTGTGTGATAAATGTAAGTGATCTATGCAGCTGGGTGGATGAGAGTGTGCAGAGCTTGGAAACTGGATAGCAAAACACACAGTGCACAGTATAATCATCTCATTTGTCACTCTCCAGTTCAGCACTCTAGCTAGTTTGTTAGAAAGGAGAAGACGCTGCATAACAATGCATGATAATGCTTCAAAGTGACAACAATTTCAATGAGATGGAAATTCTCTGCTTTCCCTGGTCTGTGCTACTCAATTTGGTCATAAAATTTCTCACAGGTCAGGCTACGTCATCTTTGGCTAAAGTGGTAATAGTCATGAGTGCAGAAGAACTTGCTTGGCTATTAACAGCTGGGTCATTTTGATTGTCTGTGTCCGATCAGACAATATGATGGCCGAGAGAGTTGCCTCCCTGCGGCACTTCTTCCCTGGCGCTCTGAATGTTGTTGCTGTAGGTGGAGGTGATCTGCTGAGAGTATCAATGGAACACAGTAGGAAAGAGTTAGTGTAGACACATTTTGTTTATAGCTTGTGATTAAATATGTAGAAATCTTGTTGTCTGCTGAGTATTATCAAAGCATTTTTCAGTGGGTGGGGGGAATAATCACTGGTTGTATGATTTGCGATTTCAGGACTTGCTGCATTTTTCCAGCAAGGGGCAGTTTGATGAGGCCGGACAAGCCACACTGAATGGGTTGGAGCAGCAGGAACAGACTCCAGTGCCATCAGAGACGCAGTCGGCACTGGAGCAGCAGTCAGAAAACCACCCGCTACAAATCCAGCCGCAGCATGATGAGAGCACGGTGCCTACGCAGAGCACCATGACAGCAGATGACATGAGGCGAGCGAAGCGTATCAGGGTAAGCAAAGAGGACGGTGGATCACGTCTTCTCTCACCCAGAGAATGCCGGGCCTGCCTGCCAGGACCAGCTGGTCTCTTCCACTGTCATATCCATTTCTGAATCCTGAATAAAGCATCTCATTCCTAGCAATTTTCTTTGCACTGAGGGGAGGACAAATCTCATGTAAAGAACTAGTATCTCACGAGATGCTAGTGTGAACTGGTCACCAATTGGAGTGGATTCAATTCCAGCACAGTAATTCTTTCATAGAAACCCAGTCCATCCAAGCTGGCAGGCAGGAGTGCTTCAAACAGCCAGCTGAATCATGGTACCGTGGCACAGACTAATGACTTGTTCACAGCACCATCTGTGTCTCTCGGAACTCTTTTCTTGCAAATAGTTGCCAAAGAGGAACCATGATCTCAGTTTAGACCCACTTAGTTGGTGATGATGATGATATTTAGTGATAAAATCCTTTCTTGGGGTAGAAAAACCTGCCTGTCTTTGTGAGATTAAAATCTGTGCTAAGAGCTTTGTGTACCGACAGCAAACGCTTTGAGCCTGAGCTTTGTGTCAACTGGGTGAGCTGTTTTTTCTCTACTATGTGTGGGAGGGAAATGATTCAAGCAAATAATCCTTGAAGCCGTGTAGCTGTGAGATTGGTTTATTTAGCCTAGAATCTTTTTCTTTTTCTTCCATGTGTAAAATTTTGATTACAGAAAGGAACAGCTGCAATGGGGGTAAGACTTCATTTTTAGGGGATGAGAAAGGATTAGAAAAGAGTTGACTAACTGTTCCGAATAGGAAGATGTCGAGCCAAATTTTGCTTTCAGTTTATAGCAATATATATGCGAGACCAGTGGTGGTGTTACCCCATAAAGGCAGCGGTGTATCCTGAAGGAAGAATTTGGCTCAGGCACATTAAGACTGCAGAATTCTTAACCATACAAAATGCTTGTGTTCTCTGAATGACAAGTTTCTACCAGTAATTTGATTTTTGTATGTTAAAAGCTTGAGGGATTTTTACTGAATGTATTGAAGGATGGATAACAAAGACAGATGCTGAGTTTTTGACAGTAAAGAGTGTGGGTATTTACTGCTTATGATATGCCACAACTTCCTCAGTAGAAAGTTGAGGCCTGGGTGTAATGGGAAGAGAAAGTGTTGCCTGTTTCCCTGAACTTTTGAACCCAAGATGTGAACTTAACATCTTCTTAAACAGTAAATGTGGGAAGAAAAGGACAGAAATTCTGTTACTTCTTTGTCTTGTGGCTTAGCTTTTGTTCCCTGGAAGTTCATCACAAATGGATGATGAACTAAGAGGAGTGCAGTGGTGGTTTAGTCCTTGGTGACATGTTTGTCTCTCCAAATCTCCCCAACTTTCCATACATCTGGCAGCTCATGTTTGGTAGAGTTCTGGAGATGTTTCAAGATAGGGGCACTGGCAGAATGGCAGATGGATGGTTGCATAGCACCTTTTCATATTGCATCAGACTGCAAGCAATGGGAACTTGAGATAAGAGTAGTACACTAGTAAGCATTACTTTTTAAGCACTGAAAAGTCACAGCAAGCTCTAGCATCCTATGAGCACTCATTCAATTCAACTATTCACAGCACATTCTTACAGTAACATGCACTTAATATTACAAGCAAGCAAACATTTGGTTTTAAGATCTGTAGCAGTACATCATTCACTTCCAAAGAACAGGTAGAAAGCCTTGACTCCTGGTTATGATCTGGAGACCTGTGTAGCTCTAGTTCTTCCTTATTACTCATGTAGGATTGAATTTTCAAAAACAATAATTCTTTGTGACTTGCTTCAACTTTTCGAAGGTTTAGGGCAGTGATGCTCTGAGAGTGCTTTAATTCTAGCTGGAAGCGCTAATCTCTGGTGCCCCAGGGTTTAAGTCCCAATAGGATCAGTTCATTTTTTAGCCTCTGCTTTACAGCCTATGGAGTTTCCTTGGAGATCAGACCTTAATTATGACAGTCACCTCCTTAGCATTGAAAAGAGATACACGCATCCTTCAAGATACTCTTGTAACAAATTAGAGGAACATTGTGGTCTGCAGCCAAAATGAGCATTTGTTTTTAATTCAGTTCTGGGCAGCGTCCAGAGCGTCTGTGGGCTGATCCCCAAAACATCTGCATTTCCAAATTGCGCTTTTTTTTTTTTTTTTTTTACACATACAGACCTGATCCTAAAATGTCCTTTGTGTAGGTGACTGCTTTACTCTAAGGAAGCAAATGGCAGGGATAGGGATATGATTTGGAAAGCACAGTCACTTCCTTCGTGCTGAAAGGAATGCAACCAGTTGTATAATGAAGAGTACAAACAGTAAGATGAGGTTTTAAAAAAAGTCCCTACTCCTTAACTTTTTTACTCTTCTAATCCTTGCCCTGTTGTTATCCTGCCCTAAGTATTCCCTTCTGCTAAAAGCATTTCATTCTCACTGTGGCTCTGCAGTACCCATTACATCATTATTAATCAACTCTGAGAAAACATGAAAGGTCACAAAACACCTTCCAGATTATCTGTGGTTTTTATCTTTGCCCTTTAACTCCCCTTGGGCAGTTATTAACTACAGGGTGAACCTTGAAGATCTGTTTAGTGTTTCCTGAGGCAAAAACCTCAAAGGAGTTTTGCCTACGTAAAGAGTAAACTCTAGCTAGAAGAGCTGGCCCTCGTAGTGACCCGCAGAAGCGTGACTATTGCAGCAGTCAAGGCTTCTGTTTTAAAGTCCATTGCATAACATAAGTATTTTTCTCTCCCTCAATGCTGCCTGCTCAGCTGGAGCTGCAGGTAGGTTTGGTTTGGTTTTTTTGTTTCGTTGGGTTTTTGCTGTATCTAATCAAATGGTACGTAACAACATCGCCTTCCGTGTTGTTTTGTCAAACTTCTGTTTAGTGTTTCCTGATTGACCCTGCATCGTAAATTGTCAGATTTGTTCTTCTTTAAGCAACCAATGTCCAGAACGAAGTGTTATCTGAATAACAATTTGCATTCTTCTAGTTCTAATTAATTGAAAATTTAAGGTGAATATTATAAGAGTAGACTGCTTGGATGAAATACTATAATACCCATCTTAAAGTTTTGGAGGATTTGTTCGCGCAATTGCGCTGGGTCAATGTTATCAGTAAATGAGACAACACTTAGTTCTCTTTTTCTGTTTTTCTAGTTGATAGCTTATCTAATCAAAGAGCAGTAAAACATTTCACCCTTCTATAGCCTTTGAGACAGCAATGGGCCTATGTTGATTTACATGGTATAGAAGTCTGGCCTGCTATGCTGTCAGTCAGATCACTGGTAAGGTACCAGTGATCAAATAGCAAAGTACAGTAATAGCGGAGTTAAGAACTTGAAGGGCATCCCTACAACTATTTGTTTTATTAGCTTATCCCTGTAGTTAAGGGGAAAATTATATCCTCCTGACTCCAAGCAACACATTAATTTTTACACAGCACATGTCTGTGCAGCCTTTGCAGCTCATGGTGTGACTTACAGCACATCTGTGTATTTCCCATTGTCTCCACTCCTCCACTTGTAAAATGGAGAATGGAGATGATGACAATTCATGGGAGGGCTCATTTGGGGCTCCTGTATTAAACTGTTAGCTTTTTTTATAGCAAAACAGTTGCTCTCATGTTCCTTTTTTTTGGAATGAAAGTATAGGTTTCCCTCTGCAGTTCAGATGGTGAAAAGGATCATTCAGGTTCACTAGTTTAATCTCTAGCACAGCATTTCACAGTATTCCCAAGCTGTTTCCTCATTCCAGCAGAAGAGCTCCTAACTTTACTCAGTGTCAACTGTTGGCACACATGTAAGGGACACAGCAAATGTCAGCCCAGACATTCCCACGAGAAAAGGAGGGAGGAAACCAGGGAAATCTGTTTGCAGAAGTCTTGAACGTATCTCATGGAGAAGTATGTAATATTGAATGTGTGTAAGCATAGGTGCCAGCCATGTTCTAGCGCTATTTCTCTTAACTATCATGATGTAGATTCTGTGTGTAGCATCTGAAAAGAGAAGACATCAATAAATGACAGTGTATGGATCTTATTTTGGGGAAGAGTAAATACTCCTTAGACTTCTTGCAGAGAAATGGAAGTATTGCAGTGTACTCTATCAGTACAGTATGGGTGAGCGTGTGCTGTGGGATTTCATGCATGCAGAGATGTGACTGACTTCTAGCTTTGCAACTATCCAGCATAAAAGTTCTCATCCAATATTGAAATGCAGGCGCAGGGCACGCCTGCCTATTTCTACAGGCAACATGTCCAGCAGCATCTGTTCCTCCAGCAGACAGTGCTGGTATCGGGACTGGGATGGGCCTATAACTTTTTTATCTGAAGGGAAAGGGGAGAAAGGGAAAAGGCAACAATCATGAAATGTAACACAAAAGGTAGCACACACCAAAAAAAAAAGCAGGGGCTGAGAAGAGAAATTGTGCACAGTAAGAGTGGAGAAAAACAGAGAAGAGCAGCCCAGTATATTAAATTTTAAAATTAGTATTTGCACAACACACATTATGCTCAATTCACAATATCCTTAAAGTTTCTTGCAATACCAAGAAAAGCAATTTCAAGTTTGACTGTGTATAATCAACTGCCCTTTGAATAGACAACAGAATCTACCAGAGTTCCTCTTGATTTAGCACCAGTGTGTTTGTCTTTCATCTTTCTTCTTCATTTTCAGGCTCTCACACACGATATATGCTAAATGGCAAAGACAGGCGAATTGCTCACAAGTTCTTACCTGTTGCTTGTAAACCTGCCATTCTGCCCCTGCTGTAATGTTTTGAAAATCTATTCTTTCTGATAATAACAAAAAGGTTTAGACCAGCATCTCTTGAATGTTTAGGTTTAGACCAGCATCTCAGCTCCACTATAAGTTTTCCCCACAATGCTAAACCACTGCTGCACATCTCTGGTGAACTTTGGTGCAGAAGCTCATTTTGTAAAGGGCTGTGGAATTTCATTAACCTTGCTCATGCGTGAAAGACAGGGCCCTAGCTTGCCTTTCCTTTGTATGGTGGCTGAATTTGTGACCCAAACCCAACAGTTAGCTGGAATTGCAGCTTTTCTCAGGCCCAGGTCTGTACTTCAGAGGGGACTTAGTTTTATTTTACAGAAAAATTGCCACGCTAAAGAGAAAAGTTAGCTAAATCAGCAGAAAACAAGGACTGGAGAGGAAACTCTTGCATTTTGTTCTCCTACCTCAGTGTGTAACTGCAGGTATGTCCCTTAACTTCTGCCTGTCACAGCCTTCCCTTCTGTAAAATGGAGACAGTGTCTACAATGCAAAAGCAGGTTTTTTTAAGTTTAGGTTCACTGATTATCTGGTATATTTAATCTTGAAAATATTTGGATGTGAAATCCATACATAATAATAAAAGCTAGTGGTCTCTTCGATGTTTCTTTCAGAACGCAGCTCTTCAGCACCTGTTCATACGGAAATCCTTTCGCCCGTTCAAATGCCTCCAGTGTGGGAAGGCCTTCCGCGAAAAGGACAAACTGGATCAGCACTTGAGGTTTCACGGACGGGAAGGGAACTGCCCTTTGACTTGTGACATCTGCAACAAGGGCTTCATCAACAGCGGTGCTCTCGAGAGCCACATGAAGTTCCACATGGACCAGAAAACATACTCCTGCATTTTCTGTCCCGAGTCCTTTGACCGCTTGGATCTGCTTAAAGATCATGTGGCCATCCATGTCAATGATGGCTATTTCACCTGCCCTACCTGCAAAAAACGCTTTCCAGATTTTATCCAGGTGAGATGCCATCCTGATTTGAAGCATTGCCTTTGGGTCTCTTGCAAGCACTCTTGTTTATGAATTTTTCAGTACTGTTATTGTGTAATGCTGCATGTCAGTCCATTTGCACAAGATAAAGGGATCCATGTCAATCAGAAATTAAAAAGGAAGAGTGACCAAGCATTGCTAGATGTTGTCTTACGCCATTGCAGTGTTCTTTCCACTAAATCATTAGATGTAGTAGTTCAGTCTGGCATTAGAAGGCACTGTACTGTGGGATGGGTGGTCCTTTATCCCTAGAAAATGCCTAAAGCAGAGGTCCCAACTACTTTTGGTCAGTACAGATCCATGGCACGAAAAGGAATTGTCTTTTGCTGTATGCAGCTTGTACTTGAATACACCTTGTCCTTCGTTGTTAAAACTCTGAACCAAAACCAATTGTGTTTTACGTCTTTAATCCCTTGACTGTTTTTGTCAGGATAATTCATTTGAACACCTTGCAGAAATGCCAGAACAGATCAGGATACTCTGCTTCCTGACTTGCCCCCTGGGCTTCAGCTGGGTACTTTATTCTTCTCTGCACACTGCTTCAGAGAGGTTGCAGTGGAGTAGTGAGTAATGTAACTACTTTGTGCAGTGTGCAGAGCCATTGGAGAAGATAGTTAATAGAATTTAAGGATGCTATTTCAATGTTCAGTAAGAAAAAAAACTTGAGACATACCATGCACATATTCATTACCCTTTATTGGGACAAAGAGGTTGATTATGTCTTGCTGAGCCGCCTGACTTAAATTGAAATGTAGAAATCCAGTTTAAGTCAAGTAATAGGAACTGATAGACTATCCAACAGGCTAAAGAGGAAAGGATGGGGAAAAGTGGTTTAGTAATATAATTCTATCCCAGCAAAACCCTTTATCTTCTGTAAATGTTGAATGAGGAAAAATGTTGATGATTCAGAAATGCTGTACTGCAACCTAATTCCCCATAAACTTTCCTGTGAAACTGATCAAGTCAGAAGAAGGTCCCATGGCTTTTTTCCAGCTATTCAGCTCTATTTTGGAATTTAAAGATGTTTTTTTCATTGGGTGCTCTGTGAATAATTAAGTCTAGTCACCATAGATTGCTGCCTACTTAAGTACTTTTATGTGGAACAGATAAAGATACCACGTTGCTCCATGTATGATCAGTATTAGAAGATGATAAAGATTTAGTTAGAGATCCATTTCTTGAGTAGTGCTTGGATTTCAAATGTCAAACCTCATTAGTTACTTCATTGCGGGAGGGTGAGGAACCCCAATAGATGCTTCAAGAGCTCAAGGATAGTCCCCAAACATGCAAAAGTAGTTGGCCTTCAGGAATGGCGTGCAAATGCTTTTCTGTCGAAGGGGTATTTTTGCCAATTGTAATTGCAAGCTCATTCTCTCTGATTGAAAGGAATTAGTCCCCGTGTTTAGGTTTCTTTATAAATGAAGTAAAGATAACGAAAATCAGATGAATGTGTTAACTCAAGGATGATTCAGTAAAACTGGTACATCATGGACTGTTGCTGCCCATTAAGTGCTCAACTGTGCAATAGCTGATGCCTTCAAGAAACAGTCTTAAGGAAATCAAATCATCCATCCAGAGGCATAATAAAGATGTTACGGCTTTATAGAAACTATTGCCAAGATGTCAACTGTTCTGATAAAATACTTTTTAAACCAAAGCAGATTAGAGAACTCTTAAAACCTTTTTCCTTTCTTTCTTTTTCCTCTTTGCTAAGAGTTTCCTAGACTGTTTTACCACACACTCTTCTCTTTTGAATAAATTCCATTTTTCTATGATCTGCAATTCTAGGTCAAGAAACACGTACGCAGCTTCCATTCAGAAAAGATTTACCAGTGCACAGAATGCGACAAGGCTTTCTGCCGTCCTGACAAGCTGCGACTCCATATGTTGCGACACTCAGACCGCAAAGACTTCCTGTGCTCCACGTGTGGCAAGCAGTTCAAGGTAAGATGACTCTTGACTGGGTCATTCCTGATACAGGTGGAGCAGACCATTCTTTAGCCTCCTTCAAGTAGATAAGCTCATGTTCTCCAAGGTGGAAAAAACCACCATGTGTAAACATGCTAGGCTTGCCCACGAGTTGCACGCGCTGCTTTGTGTCGTGTGTGAGCTACAGCATTCATTTCTGATGTACGAGGGGCAAGATCCACCCCAGCATGCTCTGCTCTTAACAGGGTGTCTCATCTATCAGATCTTATTTGTAATAATTTAATAACAGAGGAAGTTTCTGTCTGCTCGTTAAGAACTGGATCGTTATACAGCCCAGTTGCCAGGTGCTTGGGTTGTATTGCTTCTATCAGTTTAGTTAAGAAAACTTCTTGCTGATGTCAGTGGACTAATAATATTCCTGGGCGAGGTGCCTGTGTCTGTGGCATCCATCTTGACAGCACATGACACCCAGATGCCTTTCCAGATCCCACCAGAACAGATGGAGCAGACTGTGAGCCAGGTAAACTGTGGTGGCAGCAGCTTGCTCCTTGTCACTTAGTTTCTTATGGGATACTGAGGGACTGGATACTTTTGGGTGAAGAAGCATATTCTAGACAGTGTATGTCCAGAGAGGCTGGACTGCATCTGGGCAGTAGGTTCAGCACTGTTGTAAGACATGAGGTCCTCCTCAGTCAAGAGCATTATTTGATGCAAGTTTCCAGCCGTACCGAGTTGAGCGCTAATATTTTAGATAAATTCAAAGAAAAGCCAGAGCGGAGGGGTTCATTCTCACAGAGGCTGCTAAATTAGCATTAGTTTGGCTTCTGCTTTTGTGGCTGAGCAACCTCAGCTTGGTTTGAAGGATAAACCTAAGCCCAAAGGATTTCTGCTGAGCTGTCCAACACTGAGCATGCAACTGTATCTCATGGCAGCACTGGAGAGGAAAAGTTGAAGAGAGATCTCTGAACACCTTACGTTGTAGTTCTTCCTTGTAACAGGTAGTCAGGCAGTAAGTGGCGCTGATGCTTTTCTTCCCGATTTGCTCTTTCCCTAGAGGAAAGACAAACTGCGAGAGCACATGCAGAGGATGCACAACCCAGAGAGGGAGGCCAAGAAAGCTGATCGAATCAGCCGCTCAAAAACATTCAAGCCTCGGATAGCTTCCACTGACTATGAAAGCTTCATGTTCAAGTGCCGACTCTGTATGATGGGTTTTCGCCGGAGGGGGATGCTGGTGAGTGTCTGTGTGCTCTAGCTTCTCTTATAACTTCTGTACTCAATTTTGGTAAATAGTTAAGGAATAAAGATGGAATTCCAATGGTTGGTACACAAGGATGCTGTGAAACTGGGAGAATTTTATAGCTGAGTTGAGATTATATATATTTTTTTTAACCCTGTGTGTCTTATCTCTTCAGCAAATGTGTGTCTTTGTGTATTTCATTGCCTGTGTTGCATGTCTGGTTGTCACTACTGTATTTCAACACTAAGTAATGCTGATTGATGTGTAATGTATTTAACAGAACATGAGATTAATATATTGCCTAGGTCAGCCTTACTGCCTCAGTTTTCCTGTCCTTCCTATTCTTTGTTTCTCCCCCTTCTTGAGGGGCCTCTCCTGGCCATGTCCTGTAACTGCCACTGTGTAAAGGGTGTTACGCACCAGGAGATCTTATTTGCAAATATTTCATGAGGGTTGTGATCTCTGCTAGCAAAGGCCTCCCTGGACAGAGGCCCTTTAATTACCTCGCTCGCAGCTGCAAGAGAGTTCTGGCAAGCTATTTTACCCCTTCCCATCTTAGTTTGATTAGAGAAACTGTAAATGAGATCTAGTAAGACATGTTTACCTTCAGCAGCTGACTATGAATGTGAATAACCCTTGCAGCAGCAAATGCTTCCGGTGCTGCTGGCGAGCATTGTTACAGTTTTGGTTTGGCTGTTATCCATGTCTAGGAGAAGAAGCAATTGCTTGGCTTCCAGCTGTAATATGCTCTCTTGTTCTCTGTGTTTGTTTCTCCTAAGGTGAACCATTTATCAAAGAGACACCCAGACATGAAAATAGAAGAGGTGCCAGAGCTCACGTTGCCCATCATCAAACCCAACAGAGATTACTTTTGTCAGTACTGTGATAAGGTATGTAAGGAAGTCACCCCTTGGAGGGTAGCTCAGTCCTAGACCTCTGTGCAACCAATTTGTTTCTGCATAGAAACACCTGGCAGGGTTTGTAGCTTTTTTTGAGGTGCTTGCCAGCAACATTCCTGTAGGACTGTCAAAAAAAAAATATTAAAAAAATTAAAAAAAAATTAAGATGAAATGCACTTAGGCCAAGGCAGCTGAATGCTAATTGAAAACTGCAGTTCTCCTTTTCTGCTGTCTTTGGAGTAGGAAAACTTAAATACTGTCATCCAGCAAGCAGTCACTCACCCTTATTCCTGTATCACTTTTTGCAATCCAGGACTAAGTAACCTGTCTATAATTCCTGAACACTTATTTCTTTTGGTTTCTGTATCACTTTTAAAAGTTAGTCTCTAACACCTTTAATTTCAAGCTGCTTAGTCACATGCCAGTAATTTCCCAGTGTTCAGTAGAGCCTGAAGCTTCTTCTGTGCTCCCTTGGGGTTCATGTTCTTATTCCCTGGCCTTTGCTTTTTACGCATGTAGGCCTTTATTTACCAGGGAGTGTATTTTGACTGTCCTTATCCTCAGCATATTCTTCCACGATGCCTCCTTCCTTTTGTTTAAAGGGAAAAAACCAGATAGTTTTAAAAAATATCACAGAATATTTGTTTGTTGAAGTGCCTAAAAAGAATTTAAAAATACGTTGATCGCTGAAGGCTATTAAAACGGTTTGATGCTTTGTGCAAGAGTGGAGGCATTAACCCTCATGACAAATGAACATTGGACAAATTACAACTTTGGTGATCAGTGGCTTCTTTGACATTTGACCTTCAAGTATCAGGCAAAAAAGATTCTCCTCTCACCTTCCTGTCCTGCTTTGATGTTTTATTGTGGCACATGTTCTCAGATGGCTCCTGTGTGCTACACAGGAAGGAGTTGCTTTTACAAGTTGATTAAACATGGGAAGGGGTATGTATATTTATGCATTATGTTGTAATTGTTTGGGATTTAACTAAACATGCCGTCTAAAGCGACATTCAGACCTTCCAGATAAAGATAACTGGTAGCTGTTTTTTGCACAGACATCAGGTTTACACCATTTTAATTCTAAGTCTTAACCCTGCAGGTGTACAAGAGTGCCAGTAAACGCAAAGCACACATCCTGAAGAACCATCCTGGTGCTGAGCTACCTCCAAGCATTCGGAAACTGCGCCCTGCGGGCCCAGGAGAGCCAGATCCCATGTTGAGCACCCACACCCAGCTGACAGGCACCATAGCCACTCCTCCGGTCTGCTGTCCTCACTGTTCCAAGCAGTACAGCAGTAAGGTATGGGGGTTGTCTCGTAGCCTCAGAAGACAGCACCTCTCTGGTGATGCTTTTTCACCATGGTCTCTGTCATCTGTCAGTCCACAAGCAGAGCTCTTTCATTCTGAGTCAGAGTGCTGCTTTCGTGCTGCGTGCTGACAATACGGAGCGGAGCGGAACCTGCTCATTTTATGGCAAAAAGGTTCCCTAAATAGAGGGCCTGAGCTTGAAGAAAGAAATGGAAATGTTATCAGAGTGCAGTCACAAATGGAAAAACTTGGAAAATTCTCAGTAACAGTGACAAGGGAGAGGAGTAGGGAAACAAAATACAGAAAAGGTAACTCTGGAAAAGGTCCCCAGAATATTCGGCTGTGTTGGGGTAAAAAGCTTATGGGATGTGATGTTTGGGGCAATACTTCAGTATCAGATAGCTCTAATCAGCAGAAACTTGGTGATCTTTGCTTCCTTCTTGCTGGCCAAAGCATCCCATAGTGTGAATCTTGATGCTGCCTTACTGAGGGAAACTTAAAAGCTGCGGTCCGCAGGGCTGTTTGATTTCAGCTGGCCTGAGGCAGAGTTACTGACCGTCTTTCTAATGAGCTTTTGCATCTCTTTGTAGACAAAGATGGTACAACATATTCGCAAGAAGCACCCAGAGTTTGCTCAGCTCCCTAACACGATACACGCTCCGCTGGCGACAGCTGTCATCAGTTCCACTCCTGCTGTTCTAACCACTGACAGCTCTACCGGAGAGACTGTTGTGGTAAGGATTCCAGACATGTTAAATCAGGCCAATGGAGGGAAACAAACAGAACGGAAGCCCTCTGGTATAGTAGTCTTAGTGTTTATTTGGCAGATGTAATTTTAAAAGGTCTGTTAGGACATTATTTGAGATCATTTCTGTTCCTGGATCTGTGGTGTGGTTTGGCTCTGCCAGGAATTATGTATTTCTTTCTGGAGCTCGAAGGATTTGTCTTTTTTCCCCTACTCCACTCCCTTCTTTCATTCAGACCCATGTGCTACTGACTCCACGTAATAATTTCACACATGGCTAATTAACTCAGGAATACTCATCTCATGGATTTTCACTGGGACTGTTCTCCTGAGGTGCTTGCAGTTCTCGGGATCAAGAGGACGTGTTTAACAGTGACTGGGGACTGGGTCAAACTCTGTTCAGAGGAGACAAGATTTCTCTGTAATCCTTTGGACAGTGCAGTACTGAGTGATATGAACCTCCAGTGGCTGATCTCTCCACTGTTAATACATCAGCTGCTATGGAATTGAAAGCTGAGACTAGAAAATCAGTCTTGTGTCCTTTAGTGGTGTGGGGATGTTGCATAGTTTTAAAAATCTTATTAATCACAGTTTAAGGCTTCCCATTTCAAGACTGAAACTGGATAAAAGACTGTTTGGCTTGAAAATGGGCAGATTCAATCAGGATGCTGTTGGCTTCGTAAACCTGATTAGTTAGTTGCTAAGTGTCTTTACACACTTTAGAAATACAGTTGTCAAGAAAAGTATCCTTCTGGCAAGTGAGGAGGAAAGGTAGAATACATCTGAGAAGCACTTTTTGACTTGGAAACTAAGTCAGCTCTTTACAAGTGCAGGATTTTTGTTGTCTAATAGTTCTGTTAAGTCAGAACATTAAAATTACTATTTTATTATTTTATGTTAAGTTAGCCCTTAATGGTCCTGATTAGCAGTTAGAAGAGAGCAATCCTAGTGGATGATTCCTGGTGATTGCTTATGACCCCATCCTCTGTACATATGAAGCTCTTGTAAATAAATGACTAGGCTGAGTGGTGTAGATGTAGATTCAGTGTGATGAAAGAACTACAGCCCTGCAGAAGTATTCAATCCAGTAGACAATATGTGATGATGGTCTGTATCTCTCTCTTTACCTGCTCAGACAACAGATTTACTGACACAGGCAATGACGGAGATATCCCAGACCCTCACAACAGACTATCGAACTCCCCAGGGAGATTACCAGCGAATCCAGTACATCCCTGTGTCTCAATCCACAACTGGCTTGCAGCAGCCTCAGCACATACAGCTGCAGGTTGTTCAAGTGGCCCAGGTGAGTAACCTTTTGGAGGACTTGATGTGCTTTTGATCCCCTCCATATCAAGCCTGTGCTTTCTGGGGGCTGTAGCGCTCAGAATTGTGTTAAGGAGTACTTAAAAAAAGTGGTGCAGACTGTTTTTTACAGATAAGTTGATTGATAATGCATAGAGTTCCCATTGTAAGCGTCGTGTACTGGGCATAAATAGTCCTGCCGGTCTTGGTCAGCTTGCTGGAGACATTGACACAGTCCTAATTTCGTTCTACCCATCTGGGCACTTTTGCTCAAGTCTGCTCTAGGAAGGTTTTCCAGCAACTGGAAAAGTGGGTCAGTGGGTGACCCATTTTTGCAGTTGAAGACTAATTTTTACGTACTTGTTCTCAGTGAGCCAGAGCCAAAATTTGGAAGTACAGAAAGCACTTGCTTTTTTCCTTCATATCATCTATTAGAATATTCATTCTCTATGATGCTCAACAGCCTCCTAAAAATAAAACCAGGGGGTAACTAGAGTAACTGAACTGAGGAAAATAACTCAGGCAGCTGTAAGAAATCACCATAGCCTTCAAATCTACTACCCACCAGGTGAAGCTGAAACTACCATGTGTTTGTATTTGAAGCTGATACTTGGTGTTCTCTCTGCCCCCTCATTACAAATTAAGTTATGAATTTGATTAATAAAGGCCTAAAAAATGGCCCCAGTTAATATTGACTGTGGCTGTTCTAACAAAACAAGAGCATGAAAACTGATTCCTGCAGCTCATATTTAATTTTATCAAGGTCTGAGACTTGTAATTAAACTACTCCAGTTGGTATCATTAGCAGGTGTTGCTCAAAAAAGCCTTTCATCAGTAAGACTGAGCACTTGTCTTGATACAGAGCTACGTCAAACTACAGTAGTGGATATGCATACGTTTTATAGACAGATGCTTACAAAGAAGGATGGTCCAGTGGTTGACACTCATCCTGGTTTCCAGACCCTTTGATTTGAGTCCAGCTGCTGTCACAGACAGGTTGCATGACTTTAGGCAAGTCCTTTCCATTGATATCACCGAGATGTAACCATCTTGGTGCATTACATCTGTTAAGTGTACTTCTTTATCTCCTAGGAGTGCAAAGAGGGTAAACACAGGCTTGAACAAGGAGTGCTGTGTGGCCTCACTAAGGTCCATACCTCATTGTTCCAGACCTTGTATCACAGAAGAGGTTTACATGGCTGCTTTTGCAAAGAATTTGAAGTATACACCTCTGCTTTGATTTTTTTTTTTTTTTTTTTTTTTTTTTTACCCAGGCTACCTCACCTCACCAGTCCCAGCACTCCACAGTGGACGTTGGGCAGCTTCATGACCCCCAGACATACACGCAGCATGCTATCCAGGTGCAGCACATCCAGGTCACAGAGCCAACGCCAGCAACTCAGTCATCATCACAGGTATTTCACTCTTCTCTTCTTGCAGGAAATGTTTTCCCTACCAGTCTGCTCAGCTGGCATATTACATGTGCTGATGCAGGAGATAGTCTTTTCTATGTCATTTAAAGGACCACACATGAAATGGCTTTCAAATTAACATCTCTGAGATCATCAGATAGTCCCCAGATGTTCCTAGGGTGTCTGGGGGCATTTTGTTTTGTGTCTTTTTTGGGGTGGGGGGGTTGGGGTTCCCTCCCCCCCGCCCCAAGAATGTATACAAGATAGAGATAAATGGCTGGGAACAGTCAAATTTTCAGCTTAAATAAACTTAGCCAGTTGAAAGATGTAAATGGAAACTGGCATTCCTTAAATATTTGAAGTTCAGCTCTTCATGCTGTTGGGTATTATTTAGCCTCTAATCTCGGTTCCCTGCTACAGGCTTGCTACATAACCTTTGGCAAGGAACGTCTCTATTTCAGTTTCCGGGTCTCGGCTTACTAACCATAGAGTGAAGCAAGTTGGAGGAGAGCTTTGCAGTTCTTGTACTCGATATGCTATAGAATATAAGCCCCTGTGTTTTCCCTTAAGAAGGATATGTTTGTAACAGAACAGAGGTATGCAATCCTTAGTACACTGAGAACACGTACACCTTTTTTTTTTTTCCTTTTTTTTTTTCCCCCCCCTAGGTTGGTGGTCAGCCTTTGAGTCCCTCCTCACAGCAATCTCAGCAGGAACTCAGCCCCTCACAGATGCAGACAACTACATCGACACCAAACCAAGCCCTCCAGCAGCAACAAGGATCTTCAGTTCAGCACACGTATCTTCCCAGCACGTGGAACTCATTTCGGAGTTATTGTAAGTGTCAGCAGTAGCTCTTCCTAGTAGTCTGGCTAGCGTGTGGGACTAATACGTGCTCCATTTCTCCAGCTACCAAATGGGATAGTATTTTCAGAGCTCATTAAGTTTCGTGATTAATATTCATAGAGATCTAAGAAGATAAACAGTTTCAGACAAATGAAAATGGTTGTACTGGCTCTTCTGCCGTAGGTCCGTAATGATCTGGTGTGTGGTTTGGGCAGGTAGACTGGGCTCCTTTATTCCAAGGAACTTGCATTCAGCAAAAATCCATGTGCTGGATAGCAGCTTGTTCAAATTTGGAAGGATGCTTGAAAGAATCGTACAGAACATGAGGGTGACATGAAATGATTTCTCATGTCCATGCAGCTCTGGATGGTAATTCTAGGATTTCTTGGGTGAGAACAGGATGTGTTGTCTAGGTATGAATTGCCAAATCTGCAGCTGATGTTAGCTGGCATAATTCTGTTGAGGCCTGTAGAGTTTTACAAGACTTTACGCTACCTGAATTTCTAATCAACAACGACTGTTTCAGGCTTGAAATCTTGCTGACATTAAGACATTATCTTTTAAGGTGGTCTTTGAGTTTGAAGGTCTTGATTGCCCAATTTCCATTTTTTAGCATCTGAGATTCAGATGATGACCATTCCCCAAGGCCAGTATGTGATCACAGAGACCGCTGTAGGTACACCAGTCACCACTGTCAACACAGGGCAAGTGAAAGCAGTTACTCAGGTAAGGAAAAAATCACAGCCTTTTCTTTTCACCCAGAGTAATGTATCAGGCTTAAAGCCTTCAGTTTGAAGGTTAAAGGAATGCTAAAATGATGACTGGGCACAGAGAGTAGAGAATAATGGTGTACCTAAAGAGGTCCAGACTGTACAGTCCAAAAGGGCATTGGCTTTCTGTAACAGTGGTAGCGAGTTGCATGCTGGGCAGAATCCATAGGCAAAACAGTGAAGAAATGATACAATGTGTTGTGTCATGAACTAAGGAGAAAAGTGCTATGGGTCAAACCTAGTAATGTTGTAAACTTCAGGTTACAAAAGGCAAGAAATAATCTCTTGAGCGTCATGGAAAAGACTTGTTTGGGGTTTTTTTGTTTGGTTTTTTTTGTTTTTTTTTTGGTTTTGTCCCCCCGTCCCCCCCCCCCCCAAAAAGCCATCTATTTT